AGATGTACTGGCTAAACTGGTTTAACTGCTACAGGCTGGATGCACTGTTTAGATTTGCTTGTAATAAATTACTTAGCAGCAATGGAACTGATTCAGTTAGTTTTAGACAATTATCTTCATCTGCTTCTTTAAAAGAAAGTTTGGGCTTCTATTACTGCTACACACACAACTTGACAACTTGCTATTTTACTTCCTATACCTACCCAGGAACAACAGGGAGCAGATTTCACCACTCAGGCAATGCCTTGGAACAACTGGAGTGTAGTAAGGAAGTCTGAGATATACAGTTAACTCTGAGAAGCAATCTGTGCTTCCCTCAGAAGTTTACACACATTTCTCACTATTCCACTATTTCCACTTCTCCCTCACAGAAAGTTTAATAAATCTGATGACCTGTGGAACACCCAGTTCATGAAGAATGCGCAGAAGAAAATCCAGACACAGAGTTTCTACTACTCTTCAGAAGTCACCAATGCCACTTTCCTGGCTGGCATGAAGTGGTTATTTGGCAATGGCCCAACACACATCTTTTCCCAAGGCTGAGCATGCTGTTTCCAGAGCCACTAAACACGATCATTACTGGGAGCAAGAGGCCAGGCCTGGTGCTTCACTCTAGGTATAGCCTCAAAATTAACCTAATTTTGCTTGTTGGCTACTGCATCAGCATTTTTATCTTCCCTCACTTGACCATCATCTATTTCATGGAAAAATGTCAAGGCTGGAGAGGGGAAGGGGCAGAAGGAACATATAAACCAGCAGATACCCACAGCCATATAATGAATTTAGTCTGAATATTCTCCTCTCAAACAGACAGCCCCATTCTATCACCACCCGACCAGAAGCAACACAGACAGCAAAGGAGCTCAGGAAAAAAGAGGGATCCAGGCCTTCAGGAGAAAGGCATGGAAGCAAGGAAAAAAATAAATGAACACTGTGTTATGTATGCAAATGATATTAAATTGCCAGGAATTGAGAATACTAATGAGGACAAAATATGAGAGGGAAGCAAGCAGTCAGAAGACAGGCAAAAAAATGATTTCAGTACTTGAGACCAGTATCACACAGTGGGTCAGAAATCTAGCAAATTCTGCCAGTAATAAACAACAGCGAGGAACACAAATTTTCAGCTGCATGGAAACTGCAAAAAAGTGCCATTTTAAACTCTTCACATACATACAGACATGTCAGGTTTTTTCTTGGCTTTTTTTGTAAATATCTGGCATAATTTCACCTGAAATTCAAATTTCAATTTCAAATTTCCCTAAACTGAGGAAAAACTTATAAGATGGCATTGCCTGAGAGGCTGCAGAGCTGCCACAAGGAGAGAACAGAAGTGTGTGACCTGAACTACCAGTCACTCCATGTTCCTGGACTGTGACACTGCCTTGCTAAGCCTATGCTGGCTACTTCAGGAAAGAAAGTTCCCTAATGGGAAACACACGTACATATGTAACTATGGGCAGAGGCTGAACCTACAGAAAAACAGATTCAAATTATAAACATTGTATAATTATAAACAGGGGAAAGTTATAGTTATTAAGCTGCAAATGAGACTTACTATGAAAGAACTTTTAGAAATATGTAACTACATTTGTATTAAGCAGAGTTCTTTGAAGCTCACACATTTGTGAAAAGATGTTACAGAGGAAGCATATATAGAGTATCAGACTTGGATTCAATTACACTTTATAGAGTAACTCACTAGCAACACAGGAGCCCTAATTCTTTGCATGATAAAGCAAACTACACACCCTACTTACAGAGCAGAAAAACTATTATTTATTTCTTCCCCTGAATTTATTTAGCATAAAAATAAACTCTTCAGAATTTCTACAGGATAATTTACTAATCACCACCCCAAACTGTTAATTTATCTAACACCCAGGCACCAACGGCTCATCTGCACACTCCCACTCTGTTTCGGCCCAAAGGCAGCCTCGGCAGCCAGAATCACATGCTTTTATGTAGCAATGAATAAATGAGGGGTGGACCCAAAATCCATGACTAGAGACAGAATTCGGCCAGGTAACTGTGGGCATCTGTGCCACCACAAACAGCCCTTCTTGCTCCTTCTCGTGCCAACGCCAAACCTTCACCACACTCATACCACACTAAGCAGGGCTGACCAAATTAAAAACCTGAACTACATTTTAAACACACACATCCCCCCCCTCCTGCTTTTTTGTTTGTAACACTCACAGGGAAGTGCACTAGGTGTGGCACAGAGGTGAAAACCAGTGGCAGCAAACACTGTGCTTATCCAAGTGTCCCCTCGGCTCGGGAAGGGTTTGCCTTCAGCTGCAGGGACACAACTGTGCTCAGAAACCTGAAGTTTCTCTGTCCACATATCACTACTGCCAAGGTTCAGCAAGGTTAAAGCTGATTACTAACAACACCCACAGGTAACAAGACTAAATACCCAAAGAGGTGACTGGGATCATCACAGCATTTTAACAAGTACTGCAAGCAGGTGAGGCTGCATCACACCTGGTCCTGCTGAGTAGGTACCTGCCCCTTACCATGGCTGTCACTGCTTCTTTCCTGCAGAGATTAATTTTTCTTTCTATAGGGAATGTCTTCATCCCTCACAAAGTCTGAATGCCCTTGCCAGTACTACTTTCATTTACACAGAATGTCCATAAGGTCACCAAGGAAGAGTAAATTAGTCATAAGGGAAAGGGGAGAGGAAAAAACAGGGACGTGAGAGCAGATGCTCAAAATACCATATTTGATTCAATCCTGAACAGTTTAATGCCACACTTCGATTACTATGCCTGAAATTGTTTCACTCATCAAAACTTGTTCATCTGGTGTAGCTGTACACAGACCAAGCAAACCTTCACATAATTCAAAATCAAGATGTGCAATTTTCCACTGCGCATTCTTCACATACCTCCTAAATCTAACGTGATCACTCACTGAAGAATGGCATCCAACACTGCTCTGTGCACGTTAAAATTATGCTAACTACATGTTATTAAGTCTTTTCCTCACTGCTTGAAAACACCTTTAAAGAAAGCACAAACACCCATATATTAAGATGATGAACACTGTTTTACGCATTAAATGAATATATACCCACGATGCAAACTTTTATTAAAAGTTAGCAATAATCTGATCTCTGAGATCAGATTTCTCAAGAAATTCTCATTTCACATTTCTCAAGAAAAATCAAGTATTTGAATAAATCTCCAACGGCTAAACTTTTTTGGTTTTGTTTTTACATAAATGGACAGTTCTGTAAAGTTTCACAAACTAGCAAGTTTGTCATCTCACCTGGAATCAGCTGTGTGTGGCCTAAGAGATTTCAAATAGATTTCTGAGACAATGATTTATTCTTAGTGTCCCTATGTTGGTGTGTGCAGAGACTCTTTCCTCACCCTTCCAACAGAGGTGGCCACCAGTGTGATTTTCACAACCATCACAGGGACTTCTGCTTGTATTTTGAACTCCTGTATCCCCACTAGCAGAGGGGATGCAATCCAAAGAAGTTCAGGACACCTTTAAACTGCATAAATATGTTCAGCATGTCACAATGAAACCAGCATACTGGAGCATCTAGCCCATAAAATTCAAAATTAAACCAGTAAAGGCAGTCAATATTCTAAAGGACTTGAAAAGGACATTGAGAAAATGCAGATTGCTAAAGGCTATCAAACAATCTGCTGGAAACTGTAACACACAAGATGTTTATATTTGTATGCATATAAGTATGAGGTATATTTTAAATCACCTCCTTCTACATATTGGCCCCACTGTACATAAACACCAGTCTGGAGACTTTCCTAAACAAAACTAAAAAACAGTCACTCAGATAGTAAGTAAGTTTTAGCTATTATTGTATGAAATAGAGACTCGTGTTTAAGAAAGCAAAGCTTTATGTAATGACCTTCTAATCTTGAAATGTAATCTCACAGTCACTGTGACAAACTTCCACTAAAACACCTCCACTCCTCCTGATTTCAATGGCTATTATTTAGCAGAAAGGTACATTTACTAAGTCGATTGCCACGTTTTCATGCAAAATATCTTGTGTTGGCAGATATTTATGTCGCTGTTGATTAAAGCGGCCGTAGGAGAATTGGCATCTTCACAGCCAGGCATCCTAAACGATATTTAGGTAGTTGGTGATTTTGACCTCCAAGTCAATCGGTACGAGCAGCTCACACTGTGCCTGTCCTTCCTTCGGGAACGAAACCCCGCCGTACGCTTGCCCAAAAAAATAATTTTACAGCGTTGAATCGGGACGGAGGGTGTTGTTCAGAGGAAGGGGAGGGTGTGTAAAAACAACAACACATCGCAAAAAAAAAAAAAAAAAGGAAAGAAGGTGGGGGGGAAAGGCACCACTGGAGACTACACCGGACGGGGGTAGGGAACATGCAAACGTAGTGCCTCCTTTATGGAGCCAGCGCAACTGCATGACGGTGCAGGATGCGGGCCGCGGGCTGTGCAGGCGCTACACATGGCCAGCGCTGCCCGCCGACCCGCGCAGGCCCGGCCGGCAGCGGGTTCTGTAAATAACCCTCGGAGGGTTAATTAAAAATGGCGAGCAGCGTGGCTGCCTGCATACAATGAGCGGCCGGGCAGGGCAGGGCTGCAGCCCCCCGCCCGCCCCAGGCAAAACCCTCCCCCGGAACCGCCGCAACTACTTTGCCCGGACCCCCCCGGCTCGCCCCCCACGCCCCGCGGGAGGCTCCGGGGGTCCCGGGGCTCCTTTTGTAGCGGCGCTTCCCTCCCCCTCCCGCGGAGCGAATTCCTGCGGAGCCCCCCCGGGCCGCCTCCCCCGGCCCCGCATCGCAACTTTCGCTGGAGCCCCGCGGGGCAGCGCTGCCCGGTGCCCCCGGAGCCGGGCCCGGCGGGAGCGGCCCGGGCACAGCGTGTTTACCGCGGAGGGCGGCCCGGGACCCCCGAGGGGACGCGGCGGCGGGGGAGCCCCCGGGAGCGGGGGCAGAGGGGGCGAGGGGGGAAACTCTCGGCGGAGTTGAGGGCGCGGGCTTTACCTTCCATCTCCATGTCCTCGGGCTCGCTCAGCTGCTGCTCCCCGGGCTTCTGGTGCTGCTGCTGCTGCTGATGGTGGTTCATGTCGGGCTGGGGCTGGGGCTCGTTGGCGGCGGCGGGCTGGGCCTTTCCCGCGGGGGGGCTGCGGGCCTGTGTCGGGAGGGGAAGGGGCGGAGGAGCGGCGGGGCCTCGGCAGCGGCCGGGACTGGGCGCCCGGTTCGAGGGGCTGCGGCGGGGCTCCGGCGAGCAGGGAGCGGGGCGCCGGCGGAGGCAGCGAGACGCGCACGTATTTGCTCGCTATTCGCCCAATCTCGGCGGCGGCACCCGGTCGGGGGAAAGGGGCTGGGAGGAGGGACCGGCCGGGGGCGGCGGCAGCGGCGGCGGGTTCCCCGGGGGCCGGAGGGGAGGGGACCGGGAAGGGGGGACGGGAGACCCGGAGTCAGGGCCCGGCGGCGCCCGGCGCTTCCCCTTCCCCCGG